CAATTTTTTTACTATACATATTGTCTTTTGTTTCTGCAAATAGTAATACTTTACTTAACTTGTGCGTCTCTAATAACTTTACGAATTGAAGAATTTTCTAATTATTAACATGCCACAATATTTCGTTGATTAATTAAAACATACAGAATAATATTCTGAAGTCAAATGTACGAGCAAAGAAATAACAGTATTAAACTGAAATCAAATATGAGAAGAAATAACCAACATTTCGAATTGTCGAAATGATTAAAAAAACAATTACAATCTGTTTCCTAACTCAATAAATCAATTTAAAATATACATTCAAAATAAACATAATATAATACAAATTCAAAAATATTTTCGTTCTATATTACTTCTTCTTCGAAAAATTCCATAAATGACTACGAAATTCTCAAGCATACACACATGTAGACCAACTACGGATAAAGTGAGAAGGATATATCGAAGCCGTAGAGGTTTAAAGAAATCAGAGAATCCTCGAGACTGAGATTACCCTCAACCGTGTAGAATTCAATTTACGCGAGGCTCAATTTTTATCGATAGCAGCGGCTGGCAGGTGTCTCGTAGTTAAAGAAGCGAGTTTAACAAGAATAAGAAAGCAGAAAATATTATGCATTCTCAGTTGTCAATAATCAATCGAAGCAAATATACCTTGTAAAATCTTGTTAAACATTAATATTAATAAATAGTTATTGTTATAGTAATATATTTATTTAAAGGAGTAAACCCCCATATCGAAAGGCGAAAGAGATCCACCGAAGAAGATACTAGTTTCGACTTTTAGCAGGCTCGCAACGCGACAACTTAAGCAGCGTGTCGAACAAATCGATAATCGTTCGTGCATCGGTCACTTGGTGCACGCACACACACATACTCGCGTATGCTACATATAGAGGGGCATGTATGCACAAAGAGATCTGTACGCGCGTGTGTAGCTACGCGTGTCGACGAAATCCGCTCTCGTCGAATTTATCGCGGTCGTAAAAAGCTTCGTCCCCGTGAATCCGCATCAAAGCGGAGATTCACGAGCGATGCTGGCGACGGCCAATTCTGGTAAAACGTTTCACTCCGAAATCCGCCTTATCCAGCCCTGGGGGGCCACGGCTCGTAAAGTTTTCCCAGCGTTTCCCTTTTTCAAAATCCGCCGAGAGGCCATCCAGAGCGGAGAGGGGGAGGGAGGGCGGGGGCGCTCTGAATTGTAAATTCGACCCAGATCGATCCTGTGCTTTCGCGACACCAGCCTCGATACGATCGTACCGAACCACGTCGAATTAGAGCCACGTCCAGATCCACGATCTTTCTTTACTATCTTGCTTCCTGGCATTGTGTCGATTGGCGAAATTAATAGGAGAAGCCCCTCTGATTTATGAGCCGAAGAAGGTAAAACGTGAGAAAGGCAAACGACATGAGATAATCTATAATTCTAGTTCAGAGATGAAACTTAACAAGAACAATGGACAAATGATTGTTATTAAAAATGTCTGGCATAGAAATTAGATATTTATTTTTCGTACATAGGTATAACGTCCAATGCCAATATCAAACATGTACACTTTGTCTGCCACTATGTGTAAGTGAAAATCGATATGTTTGATAGATTTTCTAAGAAATATCAAACAATTTTATATTTATATATTTATATACATACTGCATGTAGATTGTTGATATATTCATTTAAATATAATTATTTTATTTTATTAGGTAATTGCACATGCAATTAGTGAAATCCAGAGTTTAATGATTAAAATTGTTGTTATATGATATTTATTACGATAGATATCTATGTAAAACTTGAGGCTTGCCGAATATGATCATTTTACTGTAAAAAAGTAAAGTATTACAAGGCAATAGTAAATTAAAACAAAGTATGAATGAACATCAAATTGGGATTTTTTTATAAAACTTGAAACTTCGAGATAACGAAATAAAGTTACATTGAGCAACATTAAAAGACAATCTGTCATTCAATTTAGTTTAGAAGGTACAAATACAAAAAGTTATTAGCAACAATCATTTAGAGATTAATAATAATTTTATTATAATTTCAGTAGTTATATTATTTTACAATTGTTGAAACATGTATATCGAACTAAAATATGTCAATATTTTTGTAATGACTAATATTATTTTTAAGAAAAAACTATAAACGTTGAAATTTCTATCAAGAATTAATTATTCGTCTGCAATGAGTAATTAATAATTAATAATTCTGTTTTATTCAAAGCACATTTCTATTACATTAATATAATATTAAAAAACAACAATTAATTATAACTGATGACACTACAGTAAAGTCATAGTTAACGACTGATTTTATAGTCAGTTATTGAGTTTATAATATTAAAGAAAACAACAATTAATTATAACAACTGGTGACAGTCAAGTTAATGATTGGTCCTATTCATTTATTTACATGTTCAGTATTTATACTTTGTTCTTTTATAAAGTAATAGCTAATTATGATTTTCAGTTTAGTTAGTTAGTATTAAAGTCGTTTCGATAATTATTTAGAAGAAGTTTTTTACAGATTTTAATGGCCTTGAAATATGTTGTAATAACTCTGTTTGATAATCGCTGCTCGGTCTTAGTTTTCGAAATATTTATAAAAAACATGTATGTTTCATATTTATTAGAGCATCGGACGGATATTATGTATACTTCAGTGACATTTTTTCTTGGATCCAGAAGACGACTAAAGAATCATTTATTCTTGTGAATTAATTGCAAGCCAGCGTCAGGATATTTGTCTGACCCTAATATCAATGTTTCTATTTTAAAAAATGAATCATTTTTTAAAATTGTGTGTTTCAGTTGGACAGGTGCTCGCCTATTATGGACCAGTATTTTTCTCGTAAATGGAAAGATTTTGAAAAAAGTGAAAGAGGCGAATATTATGATGTTTCTCATAGCTGATATATTCTAATTTTTTTAAATGAAGTAATATAGTTTTTAACCTATTAACTGTTATAATATTAATAGACATTAAGACACTAGAATAGACATTAGAAATTTATATAAATAGATTTCTAGACGTATGCTTTGTTCTTTGTTAATGTTCAATTTGCTTTTCGTTGAAATAAAATTAATTCAAATGAATATAGTGAATGAAAATTTTTGTCTTTGTTATTATTGGAGCAGTTATTGTCGATAAAATAATTGTTTACATATATAACGATATATAATCTGAAAACAACGATAAAAATTGGTAGGTAGCATTTGCACAGATTAAAAAGTATAAATTCTGTTATATTGATTCGTATAAAATGATCGATTGAATTTTTTCCAAAATGAAAAGAGATACGAAAAAATCGTTCAAACGAAAGATGTTCTGTTTGAGGGAGAAAATATTTTGACTTGTACGATAATGTAGTTGGGCACATCTGATCTCAAAATCACCTCAATATTTTTAAATTTTCTTATATTTCGATAGTATTCTGTGTGATAAGTTCATTGACATGGCAAAAGTTCGTCAAGAACATGCTATATCACATGAGAGCAAAAGCTCAAATACTTCGGGAAAATAATATGTTTATTAATATACATTAAATGTTCCAATTTCTGATAATTTTTCGAAGAATGTGTAAACATTGGGCTTCTATTTGTTAATATGACCAATTTTATTATAAAACTGTTATTATGAATTACAGAATTTTTATGTCATTATGAAGTAATATGTAAAAAGTTTTTTCTACAGAATTAATGTTTGGACACAACTGAAAGATAATAATTTTAAATATTTGGTACAACAATGCTTTAATAAATACGTTATTTTCCAACTAACGTAAAGCTATCAATATTGTTAAAATTTTAATAGTTTTAATAATATTATATTAAAATATAAAGGAAAAATTATAGAATTCCAATTAAAAAACTTTTATTGACTTTGAGATCATTTAGATGTAAAAATACTTCGAAATATTTCCTCCCTGAGACAGAATCTTTCGTTCTTCACGATCTTTTAATATTTCTTTCCATTTTGGAGAAAACTCAATTAGTCACTTTATGCAAATCACTGTGTATAAATACGAGCGAGGGAAACATTGATGATACTTTGAGAAACTATAAAAGAACTCTCTAGTATCAATCTTTCTAACTAAATATATATAATAAAAATAGACATTGAGATTAGGTGATCTTTCCTAATGATAAGATTAAATATTTCATATACAGATAACTCTATAATTGAATGTTTATTTATTTTTGACAAGATATCTATTTTAATTAGAAAATTATGCAAGGCATCCTCTCGAGATATTTTCTTACTTTAATAAATAGGTGCCTCGATCAAGTTTCTTAAAGTCTTAACCGTAAAAATTTATGTTTTACATTGTTTAATTTTGGAATTTTTTATTTAATTTAATTTTATTATTAATCTTTATTAGAAAAAAATTAAATTTTTACAACGTAATATAAATTACTATAGTTATCTGACTCTTAAAAATAGACTTAAATAGAATACGTAAGGCAACCAGTAGAGAGCATAATTGTATCATTAAGCACAACTCAGTTCATTTTCAAAGATAAGGAAAAGATAATTTTCGAAAAATTCCAATAACTAATATTCTAAAAATATAAAATTTCGTTCATGATTAAAACGATCATAGTCATTTGAAGATTGAAGTTTACAATTCCTTGAAACTTGTACGATTTCTTTTCGCTATATTATTGAATTTTGAATATTAAGGTTTTTATTAGACGATGAGATATTGGAATTTTAAAAATTTTTTAACTGTAACATTTAAAGTTGAATAAAATGACGAGAAGAAGAATCATACGACAACTTTTAAGCGATCGATCGTTGGAGAGACTTCATTCTTCAAGATCATGATGGATCTAGTGATGAAAAAATTTTCAATGCTTTTGGAGATTATTTACATTTAAATTTTACAATTTTCGAGAATGTAATTTGAACCTTATATCAAATAAAGTCACGTTCTCTATGCCATTTCTAAAATAATAATAACAGGTCAGTTGAAATAATTCATTATTTCAAATTGTTATTTCTCATTAAAGGCCCAAGTCTTATCAATAAAAAATTTTTGATACAATATAGAGAAGATAAAATCAGAATCCAAGCTGCGAGAATCAATTAGGAAGAATTTCTATAACGCAAACAGAACTTACTTTAGGAGAGTGCTTAGAGTTGTTTGCCTGATCATGCAGCATTGTAAGATGGGCGCCAAGATAGAGATCTCATCGTGGAAGGGCCTGCCAAATCCTCTACCATGATCCAAGTGTAAAGGGAATGTGTTGTTACCGAAAATTTTGAACGTTTCGTAATGATGTCTATCCATGTTCCCCATAAGAAAATCTAAGACAGCCATATCCATGAGATCCAGAAGTCTTCGACCCTTGTTATACGGTGGAATTTCTTTTACGAGGGAACAGTAATCAGAATCTGAAAGTATACAAAAAAATAAAATATTAAGAAATCTGTTTATAAAACGTTTATATAAAAAATTGTATTAAAATTACTATACAATGTATAATAATATATTTATTATTAGAATTAGAATTCTATTCCAATTCTATTCCAATTCTATTCCAATTCTATTATACCTGTATAATAGTATATCTATCTATTATATCTATATCTATCTATCTATTATATCTGTATATCTATTATATCTATCTATTATATCTGTATATTATACCAGGATATTAATTCTTAAATAGTATTGTTGAATCGTTTCAAACTTCACGAAATAAAATAAAACAATTATCTCAGCAACCTCGTCCTCTGACAAAAAAGAAGAATAAATTTGTCCATTATTTAATAGACAAATCGTTATGCAATAGTTATGCAATACAACGTGAACTATGAATAAAATGTATAACGCAAAAATGTTCTGCTGCGCCATTAGAATCCTAAGAGACAGAGAAAAACTTGCTTTCGCTATTAAAAATAGTTTAAATAATAGGAAATATGCAAAAAACGTAATTAACTTTTTTTAAACAAACCAGACTGATAAAGAATGTATAAATTAACTAATAAGTAATTGCAAACTAATTGACCACTTACTTTACTTAACTATGTAATGTACATACATATAAACACAATAAGAATAATCGCTAATAGCTTTTGTAAATGAATGATTTTAAACAAATAAATTAAAAAAAAAAGTATCATAGATACTTTTTTTTACGTATAGATGACTATAGTAATTTATGTTAGATAATTAGAATTTAAGATATTTGACTTTGTACTGTATTTTTTAAATTAAATTAAATTAAATTTATTAACAAGCACAGAGTTCTTTTACATTCTCTGTGATAGAGATTAGTAATAAAATTAAATTAAATTGACTGAATAATATACTAATTAAGGATATAGATCAAGATGAAGTATAAGATTGTGAAAGGTTAATAAATGATCGTTTTAATCTTAAACATTCGATTAAAAATGAAATTTTGATGCTTAATAGATATATACTTGTTATTATATTTATATTAACCAGACTATGCATAAATTATATGAATTACGCAAGCTTTTGCATTTTTAAAATGGAGCTATTAGCGTTCACAAATATATTCTTACTGATAATAGCAGTTTTTAATAGCACTTCTACATTTTAATTTGCAGTTCCCAATTTCTATATTATGATAAATATTACAAAAAACATGTACAATAGTTCAGCAATTTGACAAATATTAATTAATATATTAAATTAACCAAAATTTTTAATCAAATTACATTTTGAGCCAACATTGCGTGATTCGCCTAATATTTTTTTCGGTACAATTTCTTCCACTTAGATTCTATAACTTTATGGAATTTTAAAAAAATTAAAGTAGGTATGTGTGCATTATTTATACATACTTATTATTTATACATACTATTAATGTATTTAAATATTTATATAATAAATTAAATTTAGATCTTAATTGTAGTGCCCGGTTATGTTTATTATTTTTTTATAACAACATTATAATACAACAAAAAAACAATATAAAAAAAACCACTTATTGTTAGTCCATATATATGCTTTATAGAATATTTTGAAATTTTATTGTTATGATACTACACGATTGGCATGATAATATATAATATTGATAAAATTTCTGAAAATGCAAAAGATATTTATTTCAAATATATTTATTTCAAGATTGAAAAAATCAAATAATAATTAATACAATATATTAATATATTAACAATTGTATTATAAAATATACATGGAATTTAAAAATTATATTATCTATGAAAAGTATTGCATATTAAAAAATAAAAACACATCCTAAGGCTTATGACTGTTGAAACTTATTAACATAATAACACTTTCAATTTTTAAATGTAATCATTTTCAATATACAATAATTAATATACATATACTGATGTTTATAGAATTTAATATTTTTAAAAAGATAATTTAAAAAATGGAACCTATGTTAAAAACCTTATTTTGTCCATTAAATATTATATTTCGTTATATTTTATGTTTGCTATTTCTGATAAATGCATCAAAATTCGCAGTCTAATTAATAATTATTATAATGAAAAATTGATTGTTTATACTTTTATGACTTGCGGGAAATCTGTAACTTTTATGTGTAGTTTCAGATTCGTTTCAAGCTTTGCCAATGTAACCAAGATTGCCAAATCTCATTACAGTACTAATGAAATATTTTATACAATGCATGCAATATATTCATAAAGGTACAAGTGTATTTATTTGTTAATTGTATTTATTTGTTTGGAAGTTTAATTAAAATTTGGAAGTTTAATGGACAAAATTTTGTACAATTATAATTTCTCATTTAAATGGCTACAGGCAGAAAGCGAGATAAACAATTTCGAAATCCAATAATCAATTCTATGTTACGAAAATTAACCCTTCTGTTAGTTATAGAATTAAACATTTAATAAATGATACTTTGCTTAATTGTTTATAGAATTTCATAAATTTATCAAGAAACTTTATATTTATGAATACAAAAATTAAGCAGCACGAGTATTTATAATTTCAAAATAATATCTATTCAAATTAAATAATGTATTATTTAAATAATTATTTTCCAAACTGAAAGAAAGAGTGTTAACTTACTGAAAGAGACATAACATAAAGTTGCATATCCATACATTCATCAATTTTCACTTTGTGTTTCATCAGTATACCATTAAAATATTTCCCTGAGATTAAATTGAAATAAATCCCAATAATCTTTCTCTTTTAAAGTTTTTCTAATTTTTTCTAAAAGTTTTGGTTATAGTATAACATATTTGTCACATTCTTGGACTATTTGCTATATAATATTTTAGTTTTATTTTTCTTTATAAAAACATGCTGGCCAAATTTGAACACTGAAATTTGAACCTTGTATGTAATCCATAGCATTTATTACATTAAAGAACATTATTACATTTATACACGAAATTGTTGTCTATGATCGCGACATTTTCTTATGTTGTTTAATTTATATTATATTTGTTATCGTTCCTAACGTAAATGTAGCAGCGTGCAAGATTATTTTGTGAATTATTTGTTTTTGCTCGATTATGGGTCTCCCACACGCTTTAAATGCCCGTGCAATATATGTATTTGTGCAATGCTATTAATACTGTTCTAATAGCTCGGACATGTCGGAGGACAAGGCTGTTCGGATAATACAGATTCATTAGCTTTCTCCATTTACTTTGGAAAATAACAGATAACAGATAAAAAATAGAAATTACGAATTTGATAAATGAGAATATACTTGCAATATATAAGAAAAAAAAAAAAAAAAAGAACGAAGCAACAGAAACAAGCAAGATTAAAATGATCCTGGATTTAGC